GAAATCTGTATATGGCCCTGGTGGTCTATACACAGTAGCCAGAGCAAGAGATACGATAGATTTCTTTTGCATATCTGACAGTGTAACATTAAGCAGAAGTATTTCGAATGAGTTAAACCTATATCCTGTCTTCTGAGTAACATTGAAAATATCACTATTGTTGCAACACCGCCGCCATGACCAGTCTGACGGGGCTCATGCTTATAACAGTAGCTTGGTGGAGTAGACTCATTTAGACCAATATAATCATTTGGTTTTAGCCAGGTTTCAGTCAAGCAGAGTTCATCAAAACTATTATCTGTGATCATTTCATTTACAATAACATGTAAATGAAATATTAATATTAATAATAATAATAAAGGTAGGGGGCGTGAAAAAGGTCTTTCTCATTGGTTAGGATTAGGAGTAGGGGTAGGGGAAGGGTTAGGGGTTAGTTTCTGTTGTAGCCAGGGCAGGCCTGGTTCTACAGGGGTGATAGAGGGTGCTAAGCACCCTCCAACGAAATCAATAGCAACCTCAGTTAATGCTGTAATAATGGCATTTCATTGCAGATTTGGCAAAGTATCCAGTGCTTTATGATTTGAGCTCTGGAGATCGGTTTCTATCTGATCATCTTTTGCAGCATTGAGCAATGTAGCCAATCACAGACATATCTGTTGATTTCTGGAACCCAACAGCCAATCAGATGCGTTTAAAGGGGTGGTTCACTGGGTTTTTTCTAGGCTTGATTGTGTTTATGGGGTGCAGTATAACGTGTTAATGCTTCATTTAAAAAAAATAAATGCGCGTTAAATATCGCATGCGATTAATCGTGCAGCCCTAATCCTGATTAAAGCTTTAATACAGTACAGCAACCGCATGCACAACCCATTTTCTGATTGGTTAGCTAACCCAGTGTGTTGTGATTGGCTAAACTGCCTCTAGTGCGCGTCTAAGCGTCCCACCCCTCACCTCAGCTGCATGTGCTCCGCTTGTATTGTAAACAACGCCGCCAGCTCAAACAGCAATATTACGCACTAACTAACGTTAAAAAAGTGAAATCGCAATGAACCACCCCTTTAAGTTCAGCACGGATCATGTCATTAAAACAAGTGTAACCGCAATGTAAATAAGAGATTTTATTGTGCAGCGTAGAGAACTTTATTGATTATAGCGTAACTTTGTGAGATCGCGATAAACTAAGATGAGTGACAGCTTTTAGTGATTATAAAGGGAACATTCTCTCTCTCTCTCTCTATATATACTGTATATATAGCGAGAGAGAGAGAGCACCCTCACTAATTTAAAACGCACCCTCAGTGATTTGATTCTGGAGCCGCCAGGCCTTGTAGCACCCACCTTTTGCCAGCTACCCCTCTCAGAGAATCTTCCACGTGTTGTTTTAGCGTCCTAGAAAACACTTTGTCGAACAGTGACTACAAACGTCAGTGGTGAAGACAGACAGCATTATTTTTGGATTACATTTCAGAAGATTGAAGACGGGTTTACACCGCGGGACATTTCCACTCATGGACGGACGAGCAGGTATTGAAACAGTTTGCGTGCTACTGTGCTTCTCCAAGCAGTGTTATTAACCTGATAAATATATGCAAACAAGGACGTTGACAAATGAACATTGTATAACGTCATAACCTGACGACGAACCTGAGGATACTTAAGTGTGAAACATGGACCAAGATAACTTAGAGTTTAAAATGACATTTGCTGAATTTCAAAGGTGAAAAGCCCATATGACAACTAGACTTTACAACAACATCAAGAGGTGGACTCAATGAATTACATCACCCCATCATGTCTACTTCAGCGGAAGCACTGTGTGCTCAATCTAGGAACATCTCATCTCAGGGTGTGTGAAGACGCATGCGTGTGTTCATAATAACCACTGAGTGTATGTGTGCATGATTGATCGTGGGGTGTGTGTTTGCCATGAACCTTTTTTTTTGCCTCAGGGGATCCCAGACTGCTCTTCCAGTAAACACTGTTTCCATAGTGATAATGGGGAAGAAAGGAAGGATGCGAAAAGGTGACAGCAAGAGTAATAAGAGAGAGAATGTGTGTGAGAGAGAGAGAATCCAAAGAAATAAGCTGAGTGCCAGATGTAATCACATCACAAGGAGATAAAGGGAACATTGTGAGCTTGGGATCATTCCTTTATTCTTAACACATTTCACAAAAAAACACACATTCAAACCCGAAAAATGTTTAAGATTTGATTTCATTTCCTACCAGCATTGTGCTCATGTCAGAGGGTCTCCCTTTATGTTTTTAGAAATAAAAAAATAAATGTAGAGAAAAAACAATGTAGAAAGTGCATGAAAATAAAAACTTTCATAGTGAATGAAGATTCTCTCATTCGTACCAATAATCACTTGAATCAGTGGACCTCAAAACAACAGATTAATATAGACAATAAGGTAACTGTATCTGTCATCTCTTGTCAATTAGGATGTTTTGTCTCGTGAATATGCAAATGTATGAAATGTTAAGGGTGCTAAATGGAATAGAATTATATTAAACATTATGGCCACCTTCAGGGCCTCATGCATTCTGGCTAAAATCCACTGCATGTAAACGTGATCGTCATGGACAGCAACCCATGTCATGCATTTCTCAAGTGCCTATTAACAAAATAAAATTTCGAACATTTTATTATTATTATTAGCATTTTTTTCTTTACAAATTCTGAATGAGTGTGAATCTTTTTTACTTCACATGGTGCCCATCCCTATGGAAGGCCATTTCTGCCACGGAATAAATCAAATTGCAGAATTGCAAGATATAAACTCAGAATTACGAGATATAAACTTGTAATTCTTAGAAAAAAGTCAGAATTGCAAGAAATAAACTCCCAATTCTGACTTTCTTTTTCTGAGTTTGTATATTACAGTTATAACTTTTTTTCTCAGAATTCAGAGTTTATATCTCATGATTTTTTTTGTTTCCGCCATGAAATAAAATAAGATAATTATTGCATTTTTTTTTTACAATTCTGTTTTTTTCCCCCTCACAATTTTGAGTTATATCTTGCAACTCAATCTTTTCTTCTCAGAATTTTGAGTTTATTGAAACAAGCTTCCATACTTTGTGGATTAAACTGCTTCATTCACAAATATCTACAAACACATCAAACAGATTAAACAAGAACATTTAAGGCACAGTATGGTAGTTTTCGCAAGAGACAAGCAATATGTGAATTTGCTGTCCCTTTTGATCTGTGGTGTTGCGGAATCCAGAAGTACAAAAAAGTACCTAAAAATTCAAAAACATTGACCATTGATATTCTGGTTCGTATAACTGATCTATAAGGCCGCTGGAAACCACAGCTTGTTTCCACTGCAAGTGTTCAGTTGTTATTTTCCCCTCACGTGAGCCCTGGTGAGAGGCCCATGGTGTCCAGTACCTATAGTGTCTGAAATCCATCGCTGTGAAAACTCCCCTCCTCTAACCCTCTCTTTCCCCTTTTCTCTCTCTTTCTCCTTGGTCTCGTCTTCCCTGTGGCTCTGTGGCTGTAGACCATCCCACATCCTGTTCTGCTCTCTGGTTTCAGCTTGACACAGAGCCAACATAGGACACACAGAGTCCTCTTCTTCATCACTGTCCTCCTCCTCATCCTCCTCCTCCAGCAGCTGTGGAAATCTAACTGAAGATGGTGATGAAGAAGAAGGGTGAGAGTTGGAGTATACGTCCCGTTCGTACACAGACAGGGGGAGCTGAAGGTAACGGCCGGCTGCGTATAAGCAGCAGCAGGCTGGGACACACTCTGGGCCTTTCCTCCTCAGCAGACGTAGGCGTTTGCGGTACGGCCCAGGTGGCGTAATGCAGGGCTGCAGGACTGGAGGGGGAAGTGGGGTATTTGTGCCAGGGGTTTGGAGGGGACAAGGTGTTGCTGTGGGACCCGATGGGAAGCACCAGTCGCTCTGGAGGAGGATTTCATTTCTGAGGCGACGGAGAAGGTTGTTGATGAGCACGGAGCGCCGTAAGAAGGACTCTGGGTCATCCATGAAACGCAGTTTCTCGAGAGAGAGACTGAGAATGTGAGCACGCTCCTCCAGGACTGGTGACACCTGCTGGCCCGGAAGACAAATTGAGAATTCATAAGTGAGGTAAGGTCAGCTATCAAGTTTATCTGTATGATTCATAATGTGTTGTGAGGATCGAATCAAGGTGCAGGATGTTAAAAGGTGAAATGCTTTGTTTTGTTCGCAGAGGTATGTAGTGTCATAGAGTGATAAACAGTAAATTAGGGAAACAAAAACTATTAGAAGATAAAAACTAAGTGACAAAATATTTCAGTTTAATAAAATAGGAATAGAAATGAAAACAGAATTGAAACGGAAAAAAATGAAAGTCAATGTACACTATAACAACAGAAATTAAATTAAAATTACTAATAAAATTACTTCAGCTTTTGTATTTTTATACAAATTTTCAATTGAAGTCAAAACTAAATTTTAAAGTAAAAAAATAATATATATAAAACAATATATGAAAAAAATTGTGCAATGAAAATATTTGAAAACATAATATAACAAATTAAGGTGCAATCAAATTTACCATTGCGCAGCTAATTTTAGTCCAAAATTAAATTCAAATTTAATTTAATTCAAATTAAATTAAATCCAAAGTTAAATTAATTTCAGTAGGAATGCATTTTTAGGAATCCAATCAGGATATTCATGTGAGGCTGAAAGATTTATATGTACGTATTCAAACAAATTCACCACATTATTAAACAAAATAAAAATACAAAAATTAGGCTATTTTTAAGTGACTTCTGCATGAGCTGTGATTCATACATCGCTACACTATTGACAACAGACTATGGATCTTTTTGCCCACAAAATATGTGGCATGTCCGCATGTGTGTGGCATGTGGCACAAAACATGTCAGCACATTTACAATTATAAAAAATGAGTCAGAATGTCCAGATTTTAAAAGCCCTGGTGTTTACAGGTTCTGTAACGGTATTGCCAAATTATGCAAAAATTGTTACAATGTCATACAATTTTATTAATTACTAAGGCCTGGTTTCACAGACATGGCTTAGACTAAGCAAGGATTAGGCCATAGTTCAATTAGGACATTTAAATAATTTTTATAAACATGCCTTAGAAAAAAAACATTACTGGTGTGCATACTGGTGTGCTTGAGACAAAACAACGGCACTGACATATTTTAAGAGTGCAAGTTTCTTTCAGCTGAAACGGCTCAGATTTACATTTTAGTCTGGGATTAGGCTTAAGCCTTGACCGTGAAACCGGGGGTAAAAGTGTTATACTATAAATAACATAAAATGTTGTGTAGAAATATACGGAATTATGTAGGGCTAGCAGACTTACAGTGTGGCAGTAACTCCTGAAACTCAGTACAGGTTCTTCATCCTCCACAAACTTCCTCTTGAAATAAGAGATCCGTGACACGGCCGCACGATCCATCACATGATCAGGAGCTCGTCTGTAATGTGGCTCTGGAGACAAAATGGGAAGGTTCAGACAGAGTTTCATTAATTGGCTATGTCTTCTAGATCAAAGACTGGTATTAAGAGAATCTCTGTCCTATTTTAGTTCCCAAATTGGATAACAGATTTTGAAACATCTACTTTGGAACAGAACATCATCAGCACAATCTGTTCATAGTAGTCTGTTTTTCAGAGATGAGATTAGTTTCAGACCTTCTATGAGCCCATGGGTGTCACCCCCTGGTGGTGAGGGGGTGGAGATACAGCTTTTACTGCAATGTTCAGATTCCCAGATCGGATGGTAGATTGATGGCGGGGCTTCGGCCTCAGGCTCACAAAAAGGGTTCATTGATAGGACCAAAGCCATAGGTTCGCCTCAGTCCTGAACAACAAACACAAAGATAATTCTTTAAAAAAATCACGTCATTAAAAATCACATCATGTCATTCCAACCCTGTATGACTTCTTGTCTTCCATGGAATACAGAAGATGTGTTTTTTTCCCTGTCAGTGTAAATGGGGTCCAATGTTGTTTTGTACCCCATTAACTTTGTATTCACAAAAACAGTTGAAATATTTATATATATTCAAATCTGTTCCACATATTTATATTATGTTATATTATTAAGCCCGCCGGCTTCCATTCACTCTAACCCGCCGGCCGTTCCTCACTCTAGCTCACCGTGTGTGACGCTGTGTGTTTCGTTGCGAAAGCGAAAATACTTTGTTTGGCCTTCCAAAAGAGGACACGACTAGAAATCAGTGGTTAAGTTGTATTTACAACACTGTTCCAGAACACTTCAACCCAAATATTCAGATGTGTGCAACGCATTTTATGGAGGACTGTTTCCTGATCCTGTGAGAGTAGACTTCAAATGCTGGATGTTTTGACTCACAGTCTTTAAGTACGTTTTCATATTTAAAGGGGTCATATGACGTTGCTAAAAAGAACATTATGTTGTGTATTTGGTGTAATGCAATGTATTTATGTGGTTTAAGGTTCAAAAAACACATTATTTTCCACATACTGTACATTATTGTTGCTCCTCTATGCCCCGCCTTTCTGAAA